TGAATTCACAATTGTTTACACTCTGTGTAATTTTAATTATTAGTGCGACATCCGTTATAGTACTTTCCGGACAGATGTCTGCTGGAGGTTCCCTTTTACTTTTATGTATTTATTTATTTTTTCAATTTCAACTGACCAATGATTCGTTTCGACAATGTAACATCAATGACGAATGTTTTTTCGGCGCTAATCAAACTGCACACAAAAATGTGTATATTTTGTATTCCACGCGGAATGGTCTCGCAGTAAAATTATTGTTAAACAATCGATTTTCGCGCACCTGCGTAAGGCTGTTATACTTGCTATTATTATTATAGGTATCTATTATAATGGACAATGGTCGTTAACGGTATAACAGTGGTTAATATAATTAATATTTATTATTGTTGTGACGTTATATTATTATATAGGTTCACCATATTATGGTAATTAGCGCGATGTTTTGTGCTGGCATTGTACAAGTGCCCCCGGAACGTATGGGTAACCAATAATACTAATAATACGAATATTTTTTAGCAAACGCGTGTTGTCATCTCCTGTCCGCCAATATAACACATAGAGACCCAAACAAAAGGATAACGAATTATTGCACCGCTAGCGTAACCGTAGTCGAGGTCGGTGCACGAAACACATATTTATACCTAGGTAGGTAAATTTGTTTTTTATTCTGCGACCGACGAAACGCATATAAACCTAATTATAGATATGTATAACACACAGCTACGATTACTGTAGTTCCGCGATTTTATAGATCACTAGGCTCATAAAAAAGTACACGTTAATTATAATACGGATGACACTACTCTAACGGTATATTCGTGTGTAATATTTACCGATTTCTCTCCCCTCTCGCTCTCTCAGACATTCTCTCTCTCTCTCGTACTCTCTCTTTCTCTCCTCTCTCTGTCTCTATCATGCTCATTATCTACCAAATTTATAATAGTATAATAGTTGAATTTGATTTGAGTAATATTCTTACTAGTATAATATATAATATTGAAATATGATTTAGAGACAACCCTTAACAGCCGCGAGAATGGGGTAGACTAAAACCGGAGTTTGAGTGTATAACCCAACCCATGAGAGTTTTGTTGGTTTTTTTCAACAAAACATTATGCCCGATGGGTTTTCCAAGATTTTCCAGGTCTTATCGGGTTTTCTGGCCAAAATATTCACCAAAAAAATCCAATTAAAATGTTTTTCTTATAACTGATTAAGCAGTGCTAACATGCAGGGCCGGCTTTTGATCTTTTATGGTCCAACCATGGTGAATAACAAACGGTGGAGCCTAAAATAATTATAGTTTTATACTGACTAATCGACAAAAAAAACTAAATGTAGTGCACAGCCTGAAAACTAAATAATAGTATAATATTATTACCGGTAAATATAATGACAGTTAATCAGAAAACAATAATATTGTGTCATCTTTATATCACCCCACTCCGCTTGTGGATTATTATTATTATTTTTTAAAAAATGATTTTAAAGTTCGCTAAATCAATCCGGGTGGCTTTACATTCGGTCTTAAAAAAAACCCCAGAAGCGGCAGTCCTGATTTAATTGTGCTTAAAAGTGCCCACCATTTTAGAAAATGTATTGTGCGTTTAAACGTCGTAAAACAAGATTGAAACATTATAGAATTAACAAACTATTAATGGTAATAATATATGGCTTGGGTTACCTATAATAATTAATTTATGATAAATGAAAAGCTTTATGAACGTGTATTCTGAAAATTCATAATATTTTGAAATGTTGTAGTTTGAATGTTTGATTAATATTGTAATTTGTTATTATTACCAAACCCAGAGCATAAATATTATGAATACTCCCTTTGATTCTGTAAAATGACTCATATTATTTTTTATTGTTTTTGACAGCTTAAATTGAAAAAAAAAAACGAAAACAATTAGTAGCCGAAATAAAAACGGACCTGTTCGAATTTGGCTCCCGGGTGGACGCGTATATTATGATGATGGATGTACAAACATGGTTTTTATGATAGTCTCCTCCGAGTAACCCATCCCATTAAATATATTTACGTGACGGAGGTAACGAGGTACATATATTAAACCTATATGAAATTGAATATAATAATATAATATTATGTGAAGAATCATATTTACTGGATGATGATCGTTTCAACGTTATTATACTAGTATTGTCGTCCTTGTCCGAAGAAAATTAAGTGACGCGTCGGAAAGGCACGGCGGACAATGGTGTATAGTATTAATAATAATTGTTATGGTAAAAAAAAATATTCATAAAACCGGTCGGAAAGATAGGACTGCGGTGATCACGGGGGCTATTATTTATAATATGTACACGTGTTAAATGTACACGGATCAGTAAATGTATTTGTGGGCGAGCGTAAGCCCCCAAGTGTTTGGATACTAACAATTAACCATCGATCAACTAGGAAAATACGATTTTCAACCAACTGTTGGAATCGTCACTGCAACAGCTCTACCAGTGAAATACTATGAGGTGAATACCAAATATCAATGCTTAATAAAAATTGTTTTCCTAGAGGCTACGTCCAATTATTGATTAAGCTTGAAATATTCTACAATTAAGCTCATTATAGGCGCAACTATAGGACTAAACATTTTCTTTTTTTAGGGATTTGTAGCTCATAGCCTTCATATTTTTCTTTTATATAATGTGTGAAAAAATTCAACCCCACTAAGTTTGTATATTTATAAGGGGCTTCAAAAAATTAATATGTATAATATATTTATACCTAAGTAAGTATAAGCATATTATATTATTTAATCAAAAATTTTAAATTTTATCAATCACAAATTGGCTGTCTTTTAAATTGTCTTATACTTCCGATTGATCATGATTTTTTAATAAATTTACATCTCTTACGGAGAATATAACCGAATTTGAGAAACAGCCCTGCAAGGCAGCAACATATTATACTTATTGCCATCTGTAGTCAATGTTCTGGCTCATCGAAGAAAACTTTTGAGTGACATATTACTATCCAATATAATATATTTAGAGGGCTTAGCACCTATGCTCAAATTGAGCTGCTTTATACGCATCGTATTATCGTACACATATTATTAATATATAATAACTGCAGGCAACTGCATTATAATAGCTACGTGGGGGCGGCACCCACGTAAAAACAGCAATATAAAAATATCCGCTTTCCGTTCGACTTACGAATAATAATAATATAGCTGCTGTCTCGCCATACACACTCTCTCTCCGGAGCTTGTCTGCGAGACGGCAGACAATCCTTCCTGCAGACTGATGGTATGGACGATGTGATATCGTTATAATACGAGTAGGTATACTAAATATTATTACTATATGTTCAAGTATGTTATATGGTTATATGGTATGTGATTTATTGGAAAAGTCGGTCCGGCGACTAAACGTTATAATATTATTGTACATTTGCACATAGGTTTGAAACGCATATACATTTGAATATTGTGTTTATACGTGCATATTGAAATACCGTGTGGTCCGTCGTATAAATCTTTGCAGATGACGCAGCGCTATAAATACCAAAATACGTACAATGTATTACCTATAACCGACGAGGTTTGAAAACAATTGATTTATCGATTCAACCAACCTATTATAAAATACGCGTTTCCCTGGTGTAGTATATTTTATATCGTACGTATATTAATATCATTGTTATTGTTACTCTATGGTCCGCGGGTAGACTCTTCGATGTGATTGATGGTCCATTTTCGAGGCGAAGAACGCCAGAGACAAAGCAGGCGTTGGTGCTGGTGATGGACGGGAAAATAATTAACTGTGGCAAGTTAAGTTAATTCAATTAAATCATCTTCAGTTAAGTTAAAAGCTAACAAAAAAAATAATAATGTTTCCATAATCGAAAAATAGTCATCGAATCAGTATTGTCTAGTTGGTTCTGCATGACACGAAAAGATAATTAACTTAACTGCATGACAATAATAATTAGCCATAAAAAGTTAAATTACAACAATAAAAGTTTCAATTGAATAATTTAATAAGTTAAAAACAAAAATAATTGACTAGTTAATTTAAAAAGTTTAAAAAAAATAACTTTTTAACAAGTTTGTGGACGGGATGCATAAGGTATGATTATGATTACCAAACCCCCAAAAAGCTTGTGATATTAATTGAACGATTTTTTATTACTTTGAAATTAGATTATGTTTCATTGCAAACAGTTTTATTTTCTGCCTGGCCCGTCTAGTCTGGGAAGACATTGTACTTTAAAAAGTTCAAATCGTTTTTGATTTTTACTGTTATAGAAATATATTTGGTAATGGATTGTTATTATTTAATGTTCTGAATGGTAAATGGTTAATATTATTTCAAAGTGAACAAAAACATATAAAAAGCTTTAAAGGTAAGACGCCGCCGCTCCCCCTCTCTCTACCAAATGCGTTTAAGTCTCCACACACGGTTATAGTAATCACACGGTGTAAAATACGAGGCACAAACTGATGCTATAATATTGACATGCGTCGTAACTCTTAATACAATATAAATTATTGTATGTAATGTAATTCAAATTTGAACATAATATCTCAAACAGTTCAATATGTCCGCGAGTACCTATATAATATGCCGGTGGATAATTTATTTTTGCAAACACTGTTAAGCTCTTTAAACTTAAAAGTTTATTTTACTATTATTATAGGTATATTTTAGAATTAAATTTTTAAAATTTATAAGAAGTTCAAATAAAATTCATGTTTGAAAACTGGTTCAATCTAACATAAATTAGAGTTTGTGGAAACTTAAGTTCGGCACATCCCTAATCTGCAATATGCAGCTCTATATCTCATCGCACATGTTCTCCTCCACGCACATGTTATATCTTTATCCACGGAATGTTCCTGGAACTGGATATCGCACGGTGGGATAATAATTATGCTTAATATGATACTTACAACATGGGTTGTCGTTGAAATTTCGGATTTCGTCATTCATTAATAATTTAATAATTATGTAGTATATGATATTATATTTACCGGCTTGCAAAGCTCCCCATCCGGCAGCCCATCCGTAATGTCCTAAAAAGTCTTCACCCTTGTCCGGCAAGCAGATGGGTGCTATGTGCGGCATGTACTGCACCGGTCTATCCAACCTAAGCACAGCCACGTCGAATCGGTCAGCTTGCGGAGTGAACTTGAAGAACGGGTGCACACTGATCTTGCGGACGCCGAACGTGTAAGCCGGCAACGGTTCCACCGCCGAGTTGATAACGTAATCTCCAAGAGTCACCTGCACCTGTCGCGCCGACGCCCTGATGACAGATAAAACGCATAAGACGGCTACACTAATTGTTAACTGCAGTTTAGTCGTTCCCAAAAGCTTCGACACGATACAAAAGTATACTATAGGTATTATAGGTAAATAAGGTTGTGCTATAGGACAGTTTGGAAATTGAAAATATTTTGAAACGTTAATAATCGCATTGAAAATTTTAAACTTTTAGCCCAAAGTTTACGGACGCATTGTCCTCGAAAAATATTTTGATATTTTATCCCCGCAGGAGTTATTAGCCATAGGAGTTTGATCTTCAGCATATTTTGGGGATATTTTAATATTATATGATCGATCGGAACACTCCACTTCAGAAATACTGTGTTTCGACCTAATTTTGATTGTTTTTGAAACTAATTATTATGACGATTATTATTTATGAAATTTATTTCAAAACATTTCAGCGAAGGTGGGTAATTAATTAACTTACGTTAATGAGAGCAATCCATTTTAAATCATTGTGTCAAGTACAGTACCTGTACGATATTACGTCAAGTTATAATAAGTTAATAAGATATACAATTGAAGTTTAAAAATAATATGGAGAAACATATTAACTCAACTCCAAAATTAATACATGGTAATAATTGTGCAACATTTAAAATGCTTAAACAATAATTAAATATGTTGTTAGAATGCATCCTACATTACTTCTTTTTTTTTTATTGCAGACTATATTAGAGTTATGGTCTGGTTAAGGCAATTATTACACGTTAGTGTCAACTTCATGTTTTTGAAATCATCGGTATACGGAGTGATTAAAATAAAAAAGTAATTTAATTATACATAATATAATAATATATTATATGCGTATATGAACATAGTTTTAACTCAATGTATTATTTTTCAAAATAAATGGAAAATATATTTTACCAAAATTTATACTTTATAACTAAGTAATTAAGTAATTAAGTTAATTAAAAAATTAACCAACTAGTTAAGTTGAAAATTTAAAAAAAATTAACTTATTAACGTTTCACTTGAACTAAGTTTTAACTACCTAAAACTGTTATAGTGCCCACCTTTAAATTTTAGTTTCAATCCGTTATTTTTGCAACATAAATGTCTTTTCTGACACGTATTAATCGGTATAGGACTGTAAGAGTGCAATTTTATTTTGTTAAGTGTTTTGCACAGTTGTCATTTCCTAGGGGATCACCGAACAGTGATCATTCATTATTTTATTTTAACTGTATCGGTTGAACGCCCGTAATAATTCTGGATTTAATGTAATAGGCTATAAATTGTGAAACCCAATAATATAAATGTTAAATTCACGGATTGGTGATAGGGTGCCGACTTCAGATCCGTAATAATTAATATCTGTGACCATTACGTAGTCATTGCTGTACTTTACTTGGCCGTTCCGCAATAAAAGACGATTACCAAATCGAAATTTAAGTGACTTACCTAAATCGTAAATTTTACGAATTACGACTAGGTACTGTAGTTTACACTACAGTCGTATTGTCGTACGTACAAATAAGTGTAATGGCTGCAATCGACGTAACAGAGGAAATAAAATAAGCTCAGATTTATGTGCGTTCGGTTATTAATTATTATAAATAATATATTATTGGGTTACATTGCCTGAACACTATAATACCTATTAAACTGTTATCCGCCTCCTAACCGAAAATGAGAATTTATTATTGCAGCCATGGTTATGTCAGCTACTTGGGGCGTAATTAAATATAACTGTAAGGGGGGGGGGGAAATGGCACAAGACAATTTTTTTTTAATTATTACGTCTTTTCTCAGTCACAAAACAAAAAGTTACCATAAAATGTCCATGTAAAAATGAAACTATAACTATTTATCATATTATATTAATGGTAGTTAAAATCGACCGTATCACGTCCGTGGACATTATATTTTCATATTTAATTTTAATCTATGAAATGTCTGCGTATTCAATGATATATTCGATATAGGTATTGAGTACCTAGTTACTAAAACAAAACGCGTTAGATTTGAATTCGCCACGTAATTAATCATTCGAACATTTAAAATCCATAGCATGAGCTTATATGAACTTTCAGAACTATAGTAGATTTACTTACAACGACTGATATATTATTAAAAAGGTTTTCGTGACATTGTCGAGTTTATATCAAATATACTATAGAATGAATAATTTCAGTTAATTAGATATTATATTATGTTCAGTAATGTTGAATTTGGAAAAAAATCACTTTCTTGTCTAAACATATGATAATAGTTATTATTACCTACCTATACGTTTGATTGATAAGTTTATTATATTAATACATCGTACCAAATGTTTAGGAAAAAACATGAATCTGTAACCTTTGGAATGCGAGCGTAAAGCTGTGAACAGCGTAACAAATGCACTAATTTAAATTAAATTATTTTTTAGTTTTTGGTCAAATCCGAAATAACAATAGTCAATAATATCATAACGAATAACAATCGATTTACCTGGCAACACAGTGACCGGCTGTTACTACGTGATACCTGTTCACCAACGAACCACCACACCTACTGGATCCGATGCGGATATAAGCCTGAAATCATACACACATTATAAACATTAATTTATTTATATTTTAAACGTTTTAATTGTACCAACATAGGCGTAATAATAATATTGATTGATATGGTTAAAAAACTAATTATAAAAATATGCCTCTTATGATTTTAACATTGACCAAACGTTAAATGGATACAATATTAACTCTGCAGGTCACACTGATGTTCCGAATCAGTGAAAACGTTTGTCTATATAGTTTGAATTACTATATTATCACCATGCATTCATTATTATTACAAATTATTTATGATAGTGGTTTTTAGGGTTTCTTAGTAATATGTGAATTCAAAGTTCATATGAGAACTAGTAAAATTAAAAAGATAGTCCCATAAAAGTTGGGCTCTTTCTTCAAAACTCTAAATGTTTAGTAATAAAAAACTATTTATTCTGGGATATCTTCTTTTTGTGGCATCCAGGACGGGAGGAGGAACTGCTTATGGCATTACTTCCACTTCGGGCCCCGAAGTTTATTGCTTCAAAAAGTTAGCTAAGCCAATAGCATCCAGTGGACACGCCCTCGCTGCCTGGTAGACTTTCCTTAGCGTTCGCTAGTAAGTATTAAAGTATATGTCTGTCAGGGAGCTCGAAGAGCTTAGCCTTGCTCGGATAGCTTGTTTATTCAATATCTGACATCAACATTTATAGAAAAGTATTTCGCTATCAGGTATAAAAATAAAATATATTGATTAATCAGTGTGTCACTCAGACTTACTGACAAAAAAATTAAATGGACTATTAGAAAAAAAAATTCAGTAATCAGGGAGAGGGGGGGTATTATTCATAAACTCTAGCTTAAGTGCGTAAATATATTAAAAAATAAAACACCTATAAAAAATCATATTATTATAAAATATGATGAACACTTATTTAGGTATATTATGGTGAAAATGTTGTGGTTGCGTTGCTTATCAAACTATAAACCTATAATATGAAAAATTGTTTTACCAAAAATACAAAAATATGCTAGGAAAATGTGTGCTTAGTTAACATGGATGACTATGAGTTCACATTTGATGTACTATATTAATATATCATTATGTTAAAGCGTCTAAAAGTTACGTTATCATTTTGGCGAGTACGTGCAGTTTATACTGCAGCGACGTGTCCGTTTGATTTGTGTTGCCAAAAATCTATATTATAATATTACAGTTATTAATTACACACATTAATATTATATTATGACGGATAAATTATTAATAATAATAATATGTTGTGTTGTGGTACGCATCATAATATTAGCTATAGATGCCGGCGGACTCACCCGTTACGAAACACGGACCGGCGCCGCAGATTGCTCGGATCCGTTTCACCTTCCGTCGTCCGGATCGATGTTATTAATAATTTAATAATATTATAATGCGACGAGACTGTATAATGAACGTCACAGTATTTCAAACGCGTAAAATATTGCAGTATAAATTATAGGTAGGTATCGTCGTCGTCGTGTTTTAGAAATCAGACGGAGACGGTGGTGGTGGCGGAGGCGGTGGTCGCGTTCGAAAACGATTATTGCGGTAATGACACGCGTCGATGGTAATAATGCATTTTACGATGTTTTCGTTGTGCGGACGGATGAAAACCATTCGGCGACACAATGCGATGGGCATTCGATGGTGTTCGGACCGTGAAAATATGCGGGGAAGTCCGGTTCTATACTAGTATATAGAAGACGAGGAGCCAATATTTTTGATCATTGGTAGGGGGCCCGCCCCGAAATCGTATGAAAAAAAAAATCGTTTTGTTCAGTGATTTTGTATAGGTAAAATACTTTAACACTGTAATTTTTAACATTTTTGGAGTATGCTTAAATTTATAGTTATCCACCCTTTAATGTAGGTATATGAAGCGTTGAAATCGGATTTTATGTATGTAGGTATAAAATAATGAAAAAATGTCACATAAATATTATATTAATTGCGTTCAGAATTGTAAATATTATAGAGGAATATTACAATAATAGCATAAATTCAGGAGCTATATTGGACTAAATAAATTTAAAGTAACAACTGGAAATAACGGAGTTAAATAAGAAGGGTTTCTGATTTTATTTTAGTTTTCAAAAATAATTCGTATGTATATAATATGATCATATTGACATATTTTGTATATCATAAAAACACTACACATACACACTACTTGATACTATTTAAAGTTGTCCACTTAAATATATGGGTCCCCTCGCATCCACAGTCCCCTGAGATAAACCCTTCTATCCACCCACATGATAACGATCTGCATAAACACCCACATATTGATCCGGACTTATACATGGTAAAAGTATGCACCCAGTTAAGAAACCAAACGGGATCGAGAAGAAATACACCATAGAATAGCATAATATTATGATTAAAAGGGCTAGGATTAATATGCATAGGTAAGTTTTGTTTTTGCAAAGTACTTTTACAAATTTCGTCAGTATAATATCCACGAGCCACCTCGTATTTATACGTAATTTTATGAATTATTATTATTTGCATAGTGTTTTAAATATATACGTTAAAAATGCATACTCAAATATGTGATATTTAGGCGAAAGTATCTACCTAGTAAAATGCCAAGAGCCTCACATAATTAATACAGCTAATCAGCTTCTAATTTAATTTTAAAAAAATCGGTAATTTTGTCCTTGAAGAAATTAATGTTAAAACGTGTTGAATATGCTGAGTAGATTTATTTAAAAGTAAGTGCAACAAAACTTATTTAGGTGGTTAACATAAAAAATAACTTTGTTCAATTTGTTTTAATATTATGAGATGCTTTTTCGTAAGATTATATCACGTATAGATAATTTCATTAGAACATAAAGGTAAATTCTATAAAGGTAGGTATATTTTATAATATCTGTGTATAATTATGATTGCATATTTTAGATTATTTTAATAAAATTAAATGCATACTTTTCTATTTTCTATTGCATAATATAAATCCTATAACCCTAATAATACAATTATGATTAAAATTCGTTGTCTTCTGCGACAACGACAACGGGAGGTCGTAAGTCAATACATATAATTACAATATTATATTGGCTGATACGTCATGTATTGTTATTATTCTGTTATTGTTATTATTCTGTTATTGTTATAATATTACCTCAATGGCGGTGACTTTTTTATTCTATTCGGGAAAACTCACGGTGAATTAACGTTAATTTAATAAGGCGAACGACAAGACCGCGTTGTATTATCATTTTGGAATCGCGACTGGGACAATATTATGCATGTGAAGTATACAATAAATTACCGTAAACTCTACGAACGGTAGTATGGTGTTATTATTATTTATTATTGTTATATATTACAATGTAATAAATATATTATATTATTATATTTTATACTAAATAGGTATTATTATCGTTGTTTTTATGATATTATTATCTTAACATAATATATTATGATATAGGTATTGTTGTGGCTGTTATTTTTACCTGCCATGGAAAGCTGCCAAACCCAGCTTCGTCACCTCCGACAATTCTTCTTTGGGCTCCTTGTTGCTTGGCCACCGAAACACCACAACCTAGATAATACGCATACGTTTTGATCAAATAAATTGTTTGTTGATTTCATACACCATCCACCAAGTCTATATGTATCCATCAAGGTGGTCCATTCAAGTATCTACACTCATTATTTCGAAAAGTTTTAACTTTTTTGAAAATATTATTTATACACGATTTAATGCCATTGAAAAATATAATTTTTTCAAAATGTTTTATATCTTTTTTTCATTTTTCAATATTTATCTCTGTTTTTTGACAGCATAATATATTTTTAATTTCATATTTAAATATATACTTGTTCCTAAGTAGAATATTTTTCAGAAACATAAAACTTGAAATTCGAAGAGTAGATAATAATAATTAGTCATTTCAAGTTTAGATGAGCAGTTTAGTGGACCAACATTTTAGCGGGGTACCCCTGTGCCACTACAACACTCATCTAAACTTTCAATTCATGACTATAAATTTAAAAAAAAGTTGACATTTTTCGAAATAATAAATCTATGTAGACACTTAATGGATCACCTTTTATATATGATTAGTCTGATATGGATGTGCTTTTTTGCCACATTTTATAAATATTAAGTATATGTATATAATATTATTTATCGTATACGCAAGGCTGGGAAAGTCAAAATAAATGTCGATTTTGAACTTAGGAATAAGAATTATGAAATTAATTTATTAGCTCGATAGTATATTGATTTGGTTTTCTCTCGATTTTACCTAGATCGGAAAACAAAATAATTTTCGGGGGTAACAAAATATGTAGAAGTTACTATAGATACCTAGTAACTGAGATTCGTAAAATAGTGAGGCAAAAAGATAATTTAATAAAAAAAATATGTATATATGAATAACTCATATTGTTTAAAAGTTAAATTGTATTCGACTTCAACTTGTTGAATTCCCTGCCCTGCGTTGAATATAAGTGTGTGTATAATATTATGAATCATAAGTCTGGTATATAGGTAAACATTATTATGATATGTATGTGTTTATGCATTTTTGTATAATATAACGATAGAGTCAAAATGATGTAGTATTTACAATGATATCTATTCGTCTATATAATATTATGACGATCGTGTAGTGCACCAAAACCACTTTCTAAATACTTGTACTACCATACAAACATAAAATATTATATACTATATTATGTAGGTATATTAAATATTGTGTATCACGTGTATACTATACGCTCATTATTGGTTTGGGGCTACAAAATCGACCTGTATTTTGGTTTATTTTAATTTATAGCCCAAAACGCATTTTGTTACGTATAATATCAGCTGACCCGGTCAAAAGGGCATGATTTTTATTGTCGCATTCAAAATTTTTATACTTATTATGTTAAGTAGGTATATTTATATTTATTATACATAATATAATATATTATTGTGGTATGCTATTATTATTATTATTATCACATAACAACTCGTCTTTACAACCACAGTTAATATTCGCCGGAAGTCTCCGTTTAGTGTGCGGACGCCAAAATATAATATCGTTAATATTATATAGTACATTATTCCAATATTCTGTGTAATACGCACAAATTAATCATTGCAAACATCATTGTAAACCAATCAATACCCATATCTATATGATACTTATTTTCTATATTAGACTCGTTGCAAATATTGTAAATTGTAATTATTATTATTATGATTAAAATTTAGGTAGATACGCGTTTTCATAGCCTAACGCGGTGAAAACAACATAGGTATAATTATTTTAATACGCCGTGTTAGGTATATTATGATTATGTTATTATTCCCATTGTTGAAGTGGACATTAGTTTTAATGATTATGATGATGATAACTATAATATGGTTAGACTACAACAATAACAGTTTTTGGTCGGTTAAAAGTTCATTTGGTATTATATAGTTATGAACAGTTGCTACTTGTTGATGTAATATATTTTATAAGTCATAACGTTAGGCAGCGTTTTGGTATTTTTACTTTCACTGTGGTGCGTATTTTCGTATAGGTAAAATATAAATTTTTAAGCTCATGTTTAAATCATAATATAAGGTTGGGTGTAATACCTAATGATATCATAACATAATATAATATAATATAATATAATATCGATATTATGGGCTCTATAGTCGAAGATAACAATAATATTTTATATATTTTATTGGCGTACTTCCAATCACTGATCGCACGATAATCATATTAATAGCTATTGCGTAATACGAAGATATATATTTAATTAAATATTCACAAGTAAGAACTTAACACTAATAATAGTAAATTGCTCACGATATTTGTCATTGTAGAAAGTCGTTTCGAGAAATTTTACTTTTTCTTAATCAAATAATATAAGACCTAGCGATTACAGCCAGAAAGGCGTTACGTATAATATCCGCCGGTCTATAATATACGACTGGAAATCTATAAACATAGTTTACAGTAATATTATTTTTGAAGTCGGTTCGATTTGAAAGTGTCGCGTGCGTGTAACAATGTATCGTATAGGTATCATCTATAAGCGGGTCCGAGTCTTACATAATATTATTATAATAATTATGATGTATTAATATTATAACATTATTATGAACTTCATAAAATGCACAGGCCAAAATAAAACGTGAAGTGTTAACCAATATTTGAACAAACGGACGAAACATCGATCGAACCTTTTTCTTTCGAATTCTTAAGAGCCATAGTTTCATAGTTGTTAATCTCTAAATACGTAAGCACTAAGAATACTCCGTAATAATAGGTTAAGCAAATTAAGGGGCTAGAAATATTTGAAAATTATATTAGTTATTTAAAACTGTATGATTTGGAAAAGTAGTCCAAGTATAATTTGTATAGGTACTAGATTAAATTATATTATATCTATTTAAAATATTTAATGTAAAAAATTATTAAAAACTATAATATTATAATTAATACATAAATATTAATAAATCAGTACAACTCGTTCAACTTTTGTTAGAGATGCATCAATATTTCAAAAAATCATCAGATTAGTAATTATTTGCAAAAAAAAAAGTGTGGTTCTCATTTAAATAAAAGAAGTTTGTACCACCACGGAACACTCTTTAAAAGGTAAGAAATCTAATATTATATTTCAGTAGTTTCTGTTTTTGATAATTCCAAAAATTTGAATATTTTATAATAGGATGGTGAGCATGCTTTGTGAAGCACATAACGATTAACGAGTAACACATCAACACAACAATAAGTATTACATTAAGTAATTAAGATAAATTTATAGATAATGTAATACTAGAAAGATCGCGTGGAAAGACGTTCGTATTTGATTTTGATTTTGATCAGTGTAAAAAATTAATTTGGTAAGTAGAGTTATTATATAAATTTTACATTTTTCATAACAAATCAAGTCGAAGACTAGCTGTACCTACGAGTACAATCGTGTGAATCGTATGAACCGATGGTTTTAGAACTTGAGACAACATACAAAATATATATAAAAATAATTGATTAGGTACTGGGTGAAAACTCACTGATAATTTTCACCATTTTAAATTCAATTTCTATTAAAAATATACATACCTTTAAAAATATTAGTACCTACGGTTATATCTGGATTTCATATTACAGTACTTTTCTCATGGAGAATAATTATTTATATAACTGAAACGATAAAATATATTGAAGTTTATTTATCTAAAATTATTTAAAAAGGGTTATTTCTTTAAAGGGGACAGTACATTTTTGAAACCCAAATTATAAAAGCTTCTCTTTATGCTAACATTTTGTTGAGATAGAATTCTGATTTAGATAAAAAAAAAAAAATAATAATGTATATTGTCCATCACAAAATAGGTACCTAATGGCTTATACTTTTTAATTACACGTAGGTATCTATAAGAAGTTTATTTTTTATTTAAAGGCATGGTTATTGGACTCAAATTTGAAAAAAAAAACACCGTTTTCAGAAGGTGTAAATAAACGTTGGGAGTCTAAATTTAGAAAAGTATTAAAATTTTTGAATATTTTGAAATATTTTATTGGCGTTAATTGAAGTTCATTAAAATCTGAGTCATATTTGATCTAAAGAAAGTTTTTTCTCTTTCAAATAAAGAAAAAAATATCAAAATCTGACGGTTTGATTTGATTCGTTCCTAGATTTTGCCCGAATTGTTCACACCTTAAACCCTATGGGCTAAGGCTCTGACATTCTTAGGTATATAAGGTGCTGTCATATTAGGTGCTGACCTCTGGGTAATATCATTTTCCTCATTCAGGAGTTCGACATAGAACATAAACGGGCACGGTACAGACTTTCCGAGTCGGTGGAGTGATATGGAGCATGTGTAGCACTTTCAACACCAACAATTTTGTTATATAATATTAAGAGCCAGTTGTACCGTCTACGGTTAAACTACGATTAAGCTTAATCAGCTGATAACAGATATTCAACCAGTCAAATTCGATCGATTAAACTCCGGTTAACTTTAATCAGAGATGGTACAACTGGCCCTAATTGTATAGCTTATGTGTTAAAAAACATTAACTCTCGAATAATCTAAATCAATTTTTTTTTTTAAACTATAGTGACCCCGTTTCACACCTTTTTTCCATCAGAATATCTAGGGCATTCTGGACAAAATGGAGGGTTAAATATCCATTAATATCATAAAAAAATGTATAATACCAAAAATGTGAGCCAAATTACGACGTTGTCACGAACGGTTCGGCCGGATGAGATAATATTATAGTCGGAGATCGACTGTGATAATAATAACTACTGATATTGTATATTATTATCACATTATCGCCGTTATACAAAAGGCCACTGCATGCGTCCTTCGAACGAAAACTGTCGTTGCTCGGAACGAACGGGAAAAAAAATTCGCTTTCTACACAATAATAATAATAATGGAGCGCAGAGTTCCGCTTAATGCGATCACGTCGTCGGTGCAAGTAATTTTGATTATATACTAACCGATCGATTCCATAATAGACTATTTTTTTAATTATCCTTTATTAATATATTTGTTCAATACAAAATAAAAACAAAACACTGTGG